TGGTGCATAAAGAAGATCTGTAAAGTTGCAAAGACTAAAGTCTCAAATCCAAAGAGATATTCTTTATAAAAGTTAAGAGTCAACCACACCTACCTAAAACGGCTCGTTCTAACACGCCCCCACATGTCTACGTCACGATGTGGGAAGATTTGCATAACACCGCCCAAATGTTCACGCAAAGAAAGAAGGCGTAACTTTTATTCTCGCTGTAGTATTGTTGCTGCCACCATGTCGTGAAGATGCTGTGTGCTGCGTTGTGAAAGTGAAACTACTTTGTTTGGTCTTCCAAAAGAGGACGATACCCGCTTCGTCATGCCTAGAGCTGATCCGTGCTGGTCGCTGAAGGAATACATCAACTTAGTGCTGCTCAGCTCACGCATGCCCGCCACCGGCTGTTCTGACGTATGTTTTCATTTAAAGGATTTGCCACTGATGATTCAAACGCAAATTCTGAGCAGTGTAGAGTAATGTTAGTGCTTGTTTGTCATTTCTGATCACAAATGCAGAGATGGTTTTATGTTTACGCTGCGCGATGCAACGCAACACGTAAAAAGACAGTATAAGTCATCCCCACTGGATGCAACAAATGCCTCGTTTATAATGGGTTTTCATGTTTTTTGTCTTGTCGCTCCGGGAGACGGCATCAACAGTATGGTGAGGGGTGTAACATTTCCGTCTCACGCTTGAGGTATTCGGCCAATCACAACACACTGGATAGCTGGCCAATCACAGCACACCTCGCTTTTTCAGACCGATGAGCTTTGTGAAAATCGGCGCGTTTCAAAAAGGTGGGGCATAGAGGAGAAACAATAATGTACAGTATGTGAAAAATATTGTGTTTTTTTTAACCTTAAACCACATAAACACATTTCATTACACCAAATACACAAAATAATGTTCTTTTTAGCAGCATCATATGACCCCTTTAAAATATACTGAATTAGAAATCTCTTCTTTTATATTAAAATTTTATAAATTTTTGATCAAATAATCTTGATCTGTTCACACAATTACTCTTTAGCGATGCTGACATCCTTTTGTTTGTTTTCAGGCTCCTAATAAAGGATGGAAGTAACATTGACTCTCCGCCCCTGTATGACTCGTATGCAGTCGAGTATCTGCCCACTGAGGGGGTCACCAGCACCGGCAGGCATCTGTTTGTGGAATTCACCAGTGACGAGACGGGCACATGCACTGGCGCTGCCATCCGATATGAAGGTACAAGGACTCTTCTGTATTTCCTGAACATGAGTTATTCTTGTCTTCCAGTAATTTCACAAAAGAGCTTGTTCACTTCTACCTCTCATCAGTTCTGGTCTCTATAAGGCCTGAACAAATTAGTTACAGCAGATGAAGAAGAACAGAGAGGGCCAGATAGAACAGATGTTACCTAGAGACAAAAGATTACTGTGTATATTTATAGAATTACAAGTTTACCATGACCAAGGACAACTGACAAACAACATCCTACTGAAATAATACTATAAATACTAGATTGCTAGAGAGTGCAAGAACTGCTATAATGAGCTTGACTGCAGTGTAAATCACTTTGGATTAAAGTATCTGCCAAGTGCATAAATCTAAATGAAAAAATGCCTTTTTACCGTTTATGAGAAAGAAAAAAAAAGTTGTGTTTATTATATTGTATAAATGTTATTTTTCTACAGCTTTTGCTCAAGGCAGTTGTTATGAGCCGTTTGTGAAGTATGGAAATTTCTCCACAAGTGATCCTGCTTTTGGAGTTGGTTCTGTGGTGGAGTTCACCTGTGAGCCTGGTTATACACTGGAGCAGGGCGCTATTATTTTAGAGTGCGTAAATGATGAAAATCCACAATGGAATGAGACAGAACCAGCCTGCAGAGGTGATTTTGTGTGTGTGATGTCTCTTTCAGAATGCCGATTGATTTATAGTCCAATCTTTTTGGTCATTTTTCTCTGATTTAATTTTTGTTTTTACATGCCATTTGAAGTCAGTATGAAATCCAAATAAACTATCTCTTTAACATTCATTTACTCACCCTCATATCGTTCCAAACCTTTATGACTTTCTTTCTTCTTTTGGACATTTTGAAGAATATCCCAGCATTTTTTTGTCCTTATGGTGAAAGTCAGTCAGCTAAAATATTTGAAGTCATATAGGTTTGGAATGACATAAGTGTGTGTAAATGAAGACAGAATTTTTAATGGAGTATCCCTTTAAATTAAAAAGAAATTAAACCATTTGATCCCTTTAACTTTTGGTGCATTCAAGTCATATTGGATGTAAAGATTGTATTTACAAGTTGAACGCACGTATGAATGCCATTGAAGTTGCATGTTCAAAATCTCAGAGTACTGTATCTCATAGCACTTACACAAATTGAATAAAAACAAAAAAAGCAAAAACACACCCCATTTGCAGTTTTTAATAATTTTATAGATGTAGAGTTAAATAATTGTGTCAAATTTACATTGTCATCTTGCTCCCTCCAAAGTGATTTAAAAGCACCTTACGTTGTAATTAGGACTTCCCAAATCGTTAATACAAACTTCCCAGGAGGACTTGAATGCACCATTTGTTTGTTTTACAGCGGTGTGCAGTGGAGAAATAACAGATTCAGCAGGAGTGGTGCTTTCTCCAAACTGGCCTGAAGCGTATGACAAAGGTCAGGATTGTATCTGGGGTCTACATGTGGAGGAGGACAAGAGATTTATGCTGGATGTCCAGGTGTGAGTATCTGAACCTCAATGTATGTGTGTGGACAGAAATGATAGATGGTTATATTTTAGCACTGTCTTTGTGTAGCTAAGTGTTTGTGTTGCTTTTCTCCTCGAATGAGAATGCTTTCACTTCTCTATTAGCATTCGGTACAGTTCACCGCCTTCCAATTACAGAGGAACAGTGTGTGTAATGACAGCTGATTAATTAATTTAGCACAGACATGGAGGCCACCCACGGACTCATTAACACTCAGCGCTAATGGGCCCACATACAGGTGCCAGGCTGAACACCTGGATAGGGGTCACACCTCCACATGTTACTTCAACGCAATAGAGCTTCTTCAAGATCTCAGTGACCCACTATGGGATGTGCACTCAATTGTATTGAGGTTTGATTGCAACTTCTTTCATAAGTACAAAAGTTCTGAGGGAAACATCAAGGCAAATAATTTTTGATAGAGTTTTAAACAGAAAACCACAAAAATTGGTGGATTTTTGGGGCGTTATGTGTGAGTTTGGCCTGGAGTTGTGTGGGTTGGTAATAGGAGGGTATGGCTTGGTATTTGCAAGGTATAGCTAAGTTTAAATTGATATGGTTGGGTTTTGTGGTGTTATTGGCAGGTGTATTGGTGGGAGAAGAGGGGATTATGGTGCGTTCAAGTCCTGTCGGATAGATCGTATTTACGAGTTGAACGCACATGAACGCCACCACAAAGTCGTTATTACGAGTGGGAAACTCGAAATTTTCTTTAAGCCCCGAGTTTCTGAGTTGGGGGCGTGTCAATGAGAAACATGGCGGAATCGATGGATGCAACGTCTGTAGTTGACGGTAATTTTTTGTTTAAATTGATAGTTTAGTTGCCCTATAAACTTAAATTGGTCATGTTCTTGTTACGCAGCTGAAATCCAAGTAAAAAAATGCAGACCCTGTTGTATTTTCTTGTAATTTATTAAAAGAAGGTACACCGCCATCTTGTGCCGACTAAACTGACTTGAACGCACCTGACGTCGTAATTACAACTTGTCAACTCGTAAGTACGAGCGTACCAGGAGGACTTGAACGCAGCATTAGGGTGATATGAATTGGTTTCTGGATGGTATATAGGTTTAGAGTGAGATGGATGGATTAGTTGTGGACTTATCGGTGGGTTATGGCACAGTATAAGTAGTTTTGGGATGGGATGGTTGATTTTAAGAGGTATTGGGATTAAGGAAGTTTATTTGTGATTGGTAAATTTGGCATAATCTCAAGAGATTGTTTTGTTAGACAAAACAAGGTTAAGGTTTTTGCAAAGCGAGAATGTGGCATTTTAAAAGCAACCTACTCTATTTGATTTATTATTAATAAGAAAAAATAGGGTAAAATGAAAAGTCCTTTTTTATTGCTCTGACATTCTGCCCTTTTTAGAAGCCAATGGTCCACCAGTCATCGAATCTTCCTGAGGCTGAGTGTGACATTATCTCTGCACCCAGAACCTCTGTGTCCCAACATGCATCATTAGCTCAGCTTTACTGGCTTCTGCACAACACTATCTTCCAAACTTACCCTCCAAAACACACACACACACACACAGGCCTGAAAGTATCTAACAATGAGCCTGTTCGATGGAAGAAGAAGAAAAACACAGTCCATCTCAGCTGATCATCAGGACATGTAAATGTGTATTTAACTCTATAAACCCTTATTGTACCCCTGTCTTTTGTCAGGCTGTGAATAATAACACAGCTCATCTATGACCTTCCCAAACAACAGAACCCGAAGGGCTGACAGCTGTGTGACGGCCCTGAGGGCTCTGCCTCTCTGCTTTCCAACATTACACTAAATAAATCTCATTTCTTTGCAAAATGTCACTTCCCCATTGAAGAGGTAAATGCAGCCTCCCGATAGATGAGGGAATCTAAACACTGGACGTTATTGCCATTTAGCATGACAGAATGGAAAACAAGATTGATTCTCAGCGTGGATACTGTTGTGTAAAATTCTGCCTAGGCTGTGTAATTTGTTTTCCCCTTGCATTACTCATGTTGGTTTGGAAATGAAGATGAATTGCAGAATGACATCAGCAAACCATCTGGGGAAACAAATGTGGCTGGTGGTGTGACAGATTCTTATGTTAGAATGCCACCATTCTTCTTAATTAAAGGGATAGTTCACCTAAAAATAGTAATGTTCTGTCTTCATTTACCCTTCTTTTGCTTTAAAAATGTATGAGCTACATTAATGATGTGCATTCACACGTGTTGTTTCAATAGTCTTCGTCTGGGGAAGAATGACCTGCTGACCTTTTATGATGGAGATGACCTCACAGCCAACATCCTGGGCCAGTACAGCGGATTTCTTCCTCGATTTAGACTCTATACCGCTTCAGCCGATGTGACCATCCAGTTTCAATCTGATCCAGCCTCCAATGTCTACGGATACAACAATGGCTTTGTAGTGCATTTCTTTGGTTAGTGGCATTATGAGAATGTGCTGATCATCTTTACATTCTTGTTTGTTTTATTTGTTTGTACATTAAGCAGTTTACAGTAAATATTAGTACATTAAGGATCTCTTATTGACATGTCTGTTGAGCCAGAGCTTGTATTTTCCTAAATGAATCCTATTTGGGCAGTGATGGTCCCCCAGTGTCTGAACAAGCATTAGCAGTAGAGGTGCCAACCTGCTTGGCAGTGCCCCTCATTGGCAAAGACTGAGATGGGCAACTGTTTTCTCACAGCAGCCTCATTTACATTCAAAACTTTATGGTAAAAATAGAAAAATCCCAAGACCCAATGTCTCTTTTCTCCTTCCACCATCCAAATACTAGAAGTGCCACGTAACGACACCTGCGCAGAGCTGCCAGAAATGCCTAATGGCTGGAAGAGCACGTCTCATCCCGACCTGACCCATGGCACCGTTATTACCTACCAGTGTTACCCAGGCTTCCATCTGCAGGGCTCAGAGATCCTGATGTGCCAGTGGGATCTGACATGGAGTGGAGACGTCCCCATCTGTGAGAAAAGTAAGAGCTAACATTACACATGAGTTATTCTTGTCTTCCAGTAATTTCACAAAAGAGCTTGTTCACTTCTACCTCTCATCAGTTCTGGTCTCTATAAGGCCTGAACAAATTAGTTACAGCAGATGAAGAAGAACAGAGAGGGCCAGATAGAACAGATGTTACCTAGAGACAAAAGATTACTGTGTATATTTATAGAATTACAAGTTTACCATGATCAAGGACAACTGACAAACAACATCCTACTGAAATAATACTATAAATACTAGATTGCTAGAGAGTGCAAGAACTGCTATAATGAGCTTGACTGCAGTGTAAATCACTTTGGATTAAAGTATCTGCCAAGTGCATAAATCTAAATGAAAAAATGCCTTTTTACCGTTTATGAGAAAGAAAAAAAAAGTTGTGTTTATTATATTGTATAAATGTTATTTTTCTACAGCTTTTGCTCAAGGCAGTTGTTATGAGCCGTTTGTGAAGTATGGAAATTTCTCCACAAGTGATCCTGCTTTTGGAGTTGGTTCTGTGGTGGAGTTCACCTGTGAGCCTGGTTATACACTGGAGCAGGGCGCTATTATTTTAGAGTGCGTAAATGATGAAAATCCACAATGGAATGAGACAGAACCAGCCTGCAGAGGTGATTTTGTGTGTGTGATGTCTCTTTCAGAATGCCGATTGATTTATAGTCCAATCTTTTTGGTCATTTTTCTCTGATTTAATTTTTGTTTTTACATGCCATTTGAAGTCAGTATGAAATCCAAATAAACTATCTCTTTAACATTCATTTACTCACCCTCATATCGTTCCAAACCTTTATGACTTTCTTTCTTCTTTTGGACATTTTGAAGAATATCCCAGCATTTTTTTGTCCTTATGGTGAAAGTCAGTCAGCTAAAATATTTGAAGTCATATAGGTTTGGAATGACATAAGTGTGTGTAAATGAAGACAGAATTTTTAATGGAGTATCCCTTTAAATTAAAAAGAAATTAAACCATTTGATCCCTTTAACTTTTGGTGCATTCAAGTCATATTGGATGTAAAGATTGTATTTACAAGTTGAACGCACGTATGAATGCCATTGAAGTTGCATGTTCAAAATCTCAGAGTACTGTATCTCATAGCACTTACACAAATTGAATAAAAACAAAAAAAGCAAAAACACACCCCATTTGCAGTTTTTAATAATTTTATAGATGTAGAGTTAAATAATTGTGTCAAATTTACATTGTCATCTTGCTCCCTCCAAAGTGATTTAAAAGCACCTTACGTTGTAATTAGGACTTCCCAAATCGTTAATACAAACTTCCCAGGAGGACTTGAATGCACCATTTGTTTGTTTTACAGCGGTGTGCAGTGGAGAAATAACAGATTCAGCAGGAGTGGTGCTTTCTCCAAACTGGCCTGAAGCGTATGACAAAGGTCAGGATTGTATCTGGGGTCTACATGTGGAGGAGGACAAGAGATTTATGCTGGATGTCCAGGTGTGAGTATCTGAACCTCAATGTATGTGTGTGGACAGAAATGATAGATGGTTATATTTTAGCACTGTCTTTGTGTAGCTAAGTGTTTGTGTTGCTTTTCTCCTCGAATGAGAATGCTTTCACTTCTCTATTAGCATTCGGTACAGTTCACCGCCTTCCAATTACAGAGGAACAGTGTGTGTAATGACAGCTGATTAATTAATTTAGCACAGACATGGAGGCCACCCACGGACTCATTAACACTCAGCGCTAATGGGCCCACATACAGGTGCCAGGCTGAACACCTGGATAGGGGTCACACCTCCACATGTTACTTCAACGCAATAGAGCTTCTTCAAGATCTCAGTGACCCACTATGGGATGTGCACTCAATTGTATTGAGGTTTGATTGCAACTTCTTTCATAAGTACAAAAGTTCTGAGGGAAACATCAAGGCAAATAATTTTTGATAGAGTTTTAAACAGAAAACCACAAAAATTGGTGGATTTTTGGGGCGTTATGTGTGAGTTTGGCCTGGAGTTGTGTGGGTTGGTAATAGGAGGGTATGGCTTGGTATTTGCAAGGTATAGCTAAGTTTAAATTGATATGGTTGGGTTTTGTGGTGTTATTGGCAGGTGTATTGGTGGGAGAAGAGGGGATTATGGTGCGTTCAAGTCCTGTCGGATAGATCGTATTTACGAGTTGAACGCACATGAACGCCACCACAAAGTCGTTATTACGAGTGGGAAACTCGAAATTTTCTTTAAGCCCCGAGTTTCTGAGTTGGGGGCGTGTCAATGAGAAACATGGCGGAATCGATGGATGCAACGTCTGTAGTTGACGGTAATTTTTTGTTTAAATTGATAGTTTAGTTGCCCTATAAACTTAAATTGGTCATGTTCTTGTTACGCAGCTGAAATCCAAGTAAAAAAATGCAGACCCTGTTGTATTTTCTTGTAATTTATTAAAAGAAGGTACACCGCCATCTTGTGCCGACTAAACTGACTTGAACGCACCTGACGTCGTAATTACAACTTGTCAACTCGTAAGTACGAGCGTACCAGGAGGACTTGAACGCAGCATTAGGGTGATATGAATTGGTTTCTGGATGGTATATAGGTTTAGAGTGAGATGGATGGATTAGTTGTGGACTTATCGGTGGGTTATGGCACAGTATAAGTAGTTTTGGGATGGGATGGTTGATTTTAAGAGGTATTGGGATTAAGGAAGTTTATTTGTGATTGGTAAATTTGGCATAATCTCAAGAGATTGTTTTGTTAGACAAAACAAGGTTAAGGTTTTTGCAAAGCGAGAATGTGGCATTTTAAAAGCAACCTACTCTATTTGATTTATTATTAATAAGAAAAAATAGGGTAAAATGAAAAGTCCTTTTTTATTGCTCTGACATTCTGCCCTTTTTAGAAGCCAATGGTCCACCAGTCATCGAATCTTCCTGAGGCTGAGTGTGACATTATCTCTGCACCCAGAACCTCTGTGTCCCAACATGCATCATTAGCTCAGCTTTACTGGCTTCTGCACAACACTATCTTCCAAACTTACCCTCCAAAACACACACACACACACACAGGCCTGAAAGTATCTAACAATGAGCCTGTTCGATGGAAGAAGAAGAAAAACACAGTCCATCTCAGCTGATCATCAGGACATGTAAATGTGTATTTAACTCTATAAACCCTTATTGTACCCCTGTCTTTTGTCAGGCTGTGAATAATAACACAGCTCATCTATGACCTTCCCAAACAACAGAACCCGAAGGGCTGACAGCTGTGTGACGGCCCTGAGGGCTCTGCCTCTCTGCTTTCCAACATTACACTAAATAAATCTCATTTCTTTGCAAAATGTCACTTCCCCATTGAAGAGGTAAATGCAGCCTCCCGATAGATGAGGGAATCTAAACACTGGCCTTTATTGCCATTTAGCATGACAGAACGGAAAACATGATTGATTCTCAGCGTGAATACTGTTGTGTAAAATTCTGCCTAGGCTGTGTAATTTGTTTTCCCCTTGCATTACTCATGTTGGTTTGGAAATGAAGATGAATTGCAGAATGACATCAGCAAACCATCTGGGGAAACAAATGTGGCTGGTGGTGTGACAGATTCTTATGTTAGAATGCCACCATTCTTCTTAATTAAAGGGATAGTTCACCTAAAAATAGTAATGTTCTGTCTTCATTTACCCTTCTTTTGCTTTAAAAATGTATGAGCTACATTAATGATGTGCATTCATACGTGTTGTTTCAATAGTCTTCGTCTGGGGAAGAATGACCTGCTGACCTTTTATGATGGAGATGACCTCACAGCCAACATCCTGGGCCAGTACAGCGGATTTCTTCCTCGATTTAGACTCTATACCGCTTCAGCCGATGTGACCATCCAGTTTCAATCTGATCCAGCCTCCAATGTCTACGGATACAACAATGGCTTTGTAGTGCATTTCTTTGGTTAGTGGCATTATGAGAATGTGCTGATCATCTTTACATTCTTGTTTGTTTTATTTGTTTGTACATTAAGCAGTTTACAGTAAATATTAGTACATTAAGGATCTCTTATTGACATGTCTGTTGAGCCAGAGCTTGTATTTTCCTAAATGAATCCTATTTGGGCAGTGATGGTCCCCCAGTGTCTGAACAAGCATTAGCAGTAGAGGTGCCAACCTGCTTGGCAGTGCCCCTCATTGGCAAAGACTGAGATGGGCAACTGTTTTCTCACAGCAGCCTCATTTACATTCAAAACTTTATGGTAAAAATAGAAAAATCCCAAGACCCAATGTCTCTTTTCTCCTTCCACCATCCAAATACTAGAAGTGCCACGTAACGACACCTGCGCAGAGCTGCCAGAAATGCCTAATGGCTGGAAGAGCACGTCTCATCCCGACCTGACCCATGGCACCGTTATTACCTACCAGTGTTACCCAGGCTTCCATCTGCAGGGCTCAGAGATCCTGATGTGCCAGTGGGATCTGACATGGAGTGGAGACGTCCCCATCTGTGAGAAAAGTAAGAGCTAACATTACACTTAAAGGTCACAGCAGATCATTAGTGCTTAAGTCACACTAGGAAAACTTAATTAACATGCTGATAATGACTGCATAGATTTAAAACTAGGTCGACTGCCACCTACTGGTAAATTAAGGTTACTACAAATAATAACCTCCCTATCATGATAGATGCAGGGTCCGTTAACTGTGAAAACCGAAGGTACGTTTTCAGAAACATTAACTGGCAGGTACCTGTGTGGGTTTAGCGATGGCAATTTGTTGCTTTGAGGATATTTGATAATAATTAGACTGACTCTCTTCTTGAAAAACTAATATTATATTTGAATGAATTCCCATTCAAATTTCCTCAACATAATGATGTGGATCACAGTGTAATGAGCCAATACCTCTGCACAAATGCCTTATTTTTGAATAATTAAATGAATTAATTTACATAATATAATATTAATATAATTAATGAATATTATTCATTAATAATATATACCGTTATTATTAAATATCATTAATGTTTTAACCACCCTAGTTCATGTTTAAAATAGAATTTAGATTTATATATTTAATATGTATTTGTTTAATTATAACATTATTATTATTATTTAATAATATATATGGTTAATATGAAAGATTATTCATGTTTTAACCACACAAAGACTTGATTTCACATTTCAAATATAATTTATGCTTTTATATTGTATAAAACACTAAGAATATTTATTTTTTATTTATTATTATTATTGTTGTTGTTGTATGCAATAAAAAACATTCTGCTCAAAACATTTCAGTTCCAGTATAGTTTTGTTTTTTTACTTTACTTTTTTATACTTTTTTTTCAGTTTTGGGAAATTATAAAAGTTTTCTGTTGTTGTTGTTGTTTTCATGTGTTTTTATTTCTGATATTTGCCTAGTTATGTCATGTGATGAGCCGGGGCTAGTGGACAACAGCCGGAGACTGGTGACTGGCTCTCGTTTCGCTGTGGGATCATCCGTGGAGTACATTTGCAACAAAGGATACTCACTTTCTGGCCCAGGAGTGCTCACTTGCTACAGCAGAGATACTGCAGACCCAAAGTGGAGTGAAAGACTGCCCAAATGTGTCCGTAAGTGGTAAAACATCTGTGCTGTTGCACTTATTTCTCAGCATTACAAGAAATGCAACCCTAAACCTGACACTCTACTGCCATCTAGTGGGCTTCAGGATTACTGCGTCCCAGCACATGCAGTGCATTCCAGCAGACTGAAATCTCTGTTTTTTTCTGTAGCTGAAAGATATGAACCCTGCAGTAACCCTGGCGCCCCCTCCACGGCCATCCAAAGTTCAGAGAAAGCGTTTTTCCAGGCAGGAGAGACTCTGAGCTTCACCTGCCGTGCAGGTTATGCGCTTCAGGGTGAACCCACTATCCACTGCCTCCCTGGACATCCGTCTCAATGGAGTGGAGCGCCACCTATGTGCAGAGGTACGAACTGTTTTCTTTTCAGCTGGTATACATCTTTATGCGTTTCAAAGCACTGTTTAATGATTCAGATGTCTTACAGAAGTTGTTATTGGTGTTTTTCAGCTTCCTCAAGAAACAATGAGGAACACAGATTGAACGGTGATTATTAAAATGTCTTAAACACAAAAGATTCAATCATTCTAATTCATCATCGTATTATATTTTTTTAATGTTCCATAAAATGTCCACATTACAGCTGCTGATTCAGAGTTCGACGTGGAGGGCGTCAACATCGCCGTCGCAGTTCTGATTCCTGTAGCGGTGGTACTGATGCTCCTCCTGGTCGTTTTCCTCTGCATCTCAATGTAAGTTTCAAGGGCAGGGAAAAGGACACTGCTTTTTGTGTTGGGGTGTGTTCTTCACTAATAAGGTTGTTTTGTTAGTCTCTGCAGAGCTCAAAGCAAGACTTTTCAGCTTCCTGGGTCGTCATCTCCACCGTATGACAACATGACGGAAGAATCTGCATTTGACAACCCTGTGTATGAGACAGGAGTAAGTATGGATGCCATGAACCTCAGAGACGTGGGCTCTCACAACACCATCGTCCTGTCCTGATCAACCCTGCCTGCCATTCTGTCATTCCACCTGTCATTTATGACTTTGACTTGGTCTGCAGAACGAATAGTGTGAATAAACAGAGTTAAATGGCTAAACAGCAAACAAGGCCAGTATTTACACAGTAATGTAGCCGTATCAGTACCATGTAATGGCACTACTAAAGATTTAAGGACAAGATATATAATAAAACTGTCTTCATCATTTAGTGCAATGTTACATCAAATCTTAAGACTTAAGAAATTGATTTTAATGTCTTTTTGTTTTAACATTTCAAGTTCAAAAATGCTGCTGTATATTCATAACATACAAAGGGTTAGAATAAAATATGTCAGGATGCAGTGGAGAAGGAAAGACTCTGGGTCCCTCATGAAAACATTCATTTTAGATGTAAAAACCCATTTAGGCTCGAGGCTTTGGGTCATCGTTATCTAGAACTCAGCAGATGGTGTGTGTGTGTGTGTGTCTCTCAATTTACCCTCTTCATGTTCTCATATTGGATGTTCTTACTAATACTGGAGTACCACATATTAACCAAAAAAATAATTTCCTAATCATCAAGTTACCAAGTCGCCGATATCTGTTGAATGTGAAAAATGTGAAATATCTGTTGAATGTGAAAAACTGTCCAAATTCCACCTGAATGATCATACAATTATTTATTTAAATTATATTACCTACATATGAATCTCACATGATTCATGTTTGTGTTTCAAGTCATTTATGTTCACCTGTTCATTATTTTTGTGTTTCATGTCTTCATAAGTTTCCTCTCTTTTGATTCAAATAACAATAAAATTATAATGAAGCTCTTGAATTAACTTGCACATTATACTTTCATAAACGTATCTAACCTACACTACCATTCAGAAATTCAGATTAATTTTTATATGAAAGAACATGATGCTTCTTCATCGTTATCTAGAACTCAGCAGATGGTGTGTGTGTGTGTGTGTCTCTCAATTTACCCTCTTCATGTTCTCATATTGGATGTTCTTACTAATACTGGAGTACCACATATTAACCAAAAAAATCATTTCCTAATCATCAAGTTACCAAGTCGCCGATATCTGTTGAATGTGAAAAATGTGAAATATCTGTTGAATGTGAAAAATTTGAAATATCTGTTGAATGTGAAAAACTGTCCAAATTCCACCTGAATGATCATACAATTATTTATTTAAATTATATTACCTACATATGAATCTCACAGGATTCATGTTTGTGTTTCAAGTCATTTATGTTCACCTGTTCATTATTTTTGTGTTTCATGTCTTCATAAGTTTCCTCTCTTTTGATTCAAATAACAATAAAATTATAATGAAGCTCTTGAATTAACTTGCACATTATACTTTCATAAACGTATCTAACCTACACTACCATTCAGAAATTCAGATTAATTTTTTATATGAAAGAACATGATGCTTCTATTCAGCAAGGATGCATTCAATAGATCGAAAGTGACAGATTACGAAAATGCATAATTGTTTCCACAAAAATATTAAGCAGCACAACACTGATAAAAATAAGAAATGACTGAGCACCAAATTATATTAATGCATATTTGAATGACTTCTGAAGGAACATGTACGGAGCCCCGCACATGACATGCAAGAAAAAATTAATAAATTGCACGCACGATTGACTAATTCGTTCCCTCGATTCGTTCACTAAAGTTAGTAAATCGTGCACACAATTTAGCCTACTATTTTTTTCCTGCATGCCATGTGCGGGGCTCCGTAAACATGTGACTCTGAAGACAAGACTGAAATAATGACTGCTGAAAATTCAGCTTTGCCTCACAGAAATCAATTATATTTTAAAATTACGTTTTATTTTACTGCATTTTTTATCAAATAAAAGCATCAATACATCAATACATGTCACTTCCAAAGCTGTTTTTCATTAAATGTTGTTTGTTTCAAGTACAACTTGGATCACCAGCTGTATTTAAGTGGGCTCTGAATAAAGACTTTGAATGTTACAACAAAGCGGAACTACTGTACTGTACTGAAATCTGATTTGTTTATCTTTCCAGGATGCAAAGCAATATGGGGTGTGCATGTAAAATTCATCTGTCTTTCTTTTGGCACCTCTCCTTTTTTCTGCTGGGCTCCTGTAAATGTATTTTTCTCCAAGACCTCTGCCAGCAAATGAACGATGGTGGACAAAAGGGTGTTATTTCTGTAGCACATCAGAGCCTGAGGTTTGTGTTGTACTTTTTTGTTTGTCTGGTGAAACTCCCCAAGGCTCACACCTTGAGGCTGGACTATATCAGAATGCACTGGATTCTTTTTGTTTCACATTGAGGAACCACAGAGGTGGAAGCTGTTTTCATCCACATGCAGCAAAACCTATGAGTCGGGAGTGTCTTGAGTTCCAGTTGAGCTCATAATGGTGATAAAGCCATTTCTCTATGTATAACTGTCGCTGCATGGGGGCTTATTTGCAGAACACTGTAAATAAATGGTCTAAAACTACATTGTGGTGTTATGTATTTATTATGCAATATAGTCTGGAGCTGTCGAAGTTTTAATTTAAACAAGACTGCAGCTATTTATTGAACAGTATCACTGCTTTATCTTTCTATCATGCTGATTTATTTTTATTCTGATTTTATTAGAATAAAATGCATTTTGTTTACAATAGAATTCATTCTATTATCATTTATTCTAAATATTGAATCTCTATGAATGCTAATTTATTCTGAATGTTGAATTTATATGTAAATGTGAAAATTAATCAGATTACACATATATGATAAATATATAGCCTATATATTATGTACATAATAATTGAATTGACAATTGTTCACCGCCATTGTTCAGCGCTCATTTGAGATTTTAACATTAGTCCACTCCAAAACCATCATAATGAAATTGTTTCATTTCTTCCGTTTCACACATTGGTTCATGTCCCGCCGGCGACAAAACGGACCAATCAGAGGCCAGAATTTTCCCTCACAATACAAAGAGGCTCAAACACGTAAACAAACCGGATAATGGCATCCGCTTTCTAACCCTCGCCGGTTTATGTATTTTACAAGTTCCTCACAGCCACAAAAATGACATACTGACGGTTCCCACGATGACTACATCGACAGAGAGCTTTTATTAAGAAGCAGGAAAAGAGCAAGATGGCTCCACTGTTTACTGGTAGTGATGCCCGACCGCGAACAAATCGTTGTTCTGAACCGGCTCCTTATAAAGATTCATTCGAACCGATTCGCAAATCGTTTGTAAACCATTCGACTGTAAACAATAATGTATACTTTACCCAAAACGTAAACATTTGTCATCATTTACTCACCCTCATGTAAATTACAAATTAATTTATTTATTTTCTTTAATTACAAATGAATTAATTTCCCTTTTTCCCCTCTGGAAGGACATAATGGCAGCTTGAGTCACCATTCACTTTCATTGTATAGAAAATACATGCAAGTGGATGGTGACTGAGGCTGTCAGCGCCTAACAGATGTTTGGATGGGGAGTAAATTATTTAAATTTTAACTTTGGGTAAACTATCCCTTGTAAGAAAAAACCGTTGGTTGTAGAATTGTAAGGTATGTGAAAACCATAAACAATGCAAAGTCATTCAGAACAGTATTTATCATTTATATATCAATTTAAATAAATATTTATATGTTAATTCTTTATTACATAACCATCCTCTATGGCAAATCAGTAACTTGATTCTACTGAACCTGTTCACTAAAGCGAACCGATTCTCTAAATGAATTTGATTCCCAAAGCGACTGACGGGGCGACGCATGCGCACACGGGTTTGTGCGTCAGTTAGCGCGAGCGTTCCTTCATCACAACAGAGACGCTCCGCCGTTAAGTCGTTCTTTCACCGGGAGAAAAACGTCTGATTTTCGCCGCTGCCAGTTCCTCGGAGGATTTGTTCTTCGGGGGGCTTGATGTTTGACGTCTTTCCAACATGGACTTAATGATAATTTCTGTGTCTTTATTATTCCTTCTCTTGCCGGGCCGGAGTCTCGCACAGCACCGGGGATAGAGGCCTCCGCGCGCCTGCTCGATTAACGGAGAGCCCGCGCGGAGCCACAACGGACACGGGCGGGAATCCCACGGCTGTTTGGAGGTCAGACGCTCTTCATCTGACAGGAGTCGGGGTGTAACGTAGCGGCTGAGGGAGACGGAACCAGTTGGGGGTGGTGTTGATGTGGGGAAAAATGGAGACCCCGACGATCGTGTACGATCTGGATACCTCCGGCGGGCTGATGGAGGTAAGACAAACACGCTCGTGCACTCGTTTATTCCTCTCTTCACTGTCCGGTTAACATTGTCAGTGCCGCCGCTAACCCGCTCGCGCTCGCTAATGTCATCCATTCCATAGGCTCCCTTCACACGGGCGCGCGCGCGCTCACGGTCACGGCCCAACAATGGCTCGAGCGGCTGATGTGATGTAAGACGCGGGCAGATGTTTCACTAATGAGTTTCTGAATCGGTCTCTTGCAGCAAATCCAGACTCTGCTGGCGCCACCCAAGTCTGAGGATGGAGAGAAGCGGAGCAGGAAACCGGACAGGAGCACCAGGAGAGCGGGCAGGGCCACCAATCACGATACCTGCGACAGCTGCCGGGAAGGAGGGGACCTGCTGTGTTGTGATCACTGCCCCGCTGCCTTCCATCTACAGTGCTGGTGTGTGTGATGCTGGAGCTGGGACAACATTGGGCCCAGGACTGTGATGCTTGTTTAGTCGGGGCACATGCATTACAACTAGACGTCCATCAGTTTCTTCTTGCATCTCCAAATGGAACATCATGGGTGTTGGAGTTTATTTATATGCTGTCTGATGTTTTTTGCATGAGCAGGCAAAAGCTCTAGCAGGGAGCTGATAAATAATAATTAACCATGAACATCTGAAGGCCACGACCACGTCTCCATTATGGAGAGATTGAGATTATGAGATGGATTTTTCTTAATCGTCTGAGTCAGTTTGTCAGATGTTTGCACATCTGTGATCGGCTTCGTTTATTAACATCAGCATGAAATGAAAAATCGCTGTATCTGTTTTCTAAATGCATGTTATAGATTTTCATTGTAAACAATTCATCTGTGCATGTTTCAATTTTTTAATTGTTAAAAGACAGACTTCTTTCTGATGACATATGCAGGGCTTCTGGCTAAACTTGGCCCCTGCAAGCTTTAACGCTCATCTGCCTCCATTTTTGAGTGCAGTGTCCACATCTCAAAATCCAGTCAACAACTGATGCATAGAACCAAGACCCTGCCGTACATTTTTTTTCCTTATGTGGTAGTCTGTTACACTCGAATGTACGTCACAGTTTGGAAGAAAAGATCTGTCACTATTTCTGTTTTATTGTAACTGTTAACTCACTTCATGCCGTAGTCGGTCAGCTGCAGTGGAGGATGTTTGAATTTCGATTTCCCCTCCGTATTTTCTCTATGTTTATTCTGTCTGTTTGGGAGGTGAAATGATTCCATGTGTGTTTGAGGAGAAACACATGCAGCTAGTGCTGCGCGGCCCATGGGCCACTGGGAATCTGCCACACTGGCCTTCATTTGTGTAGTCTCTAAGTTCCAGAGTTTCTGGGATTGATCAGATGTGCTTCAAATAGAAACTACATTAGGAAGATCTCATAATGGGTTTTTGGTGTTATTAGATGAATCAGGTATTTGAAAGAACTGGGAAGTTATGAAGTTAGAACAGGTTTTTGTTTGCTATGTTTTAACCCAGTTGTTGAAGTACTATACGAGCCTGGTGCTTTTAGGCTTCATTACAGATTCTACCATCAGTAGAACAGAATTGTTTGAGCGTAGATCTGTTTGCAAGTGCAATGCATTAGAAAACACGAGACTCCTTTCTTACAGAGAGAGGTATTGTTTTACCCG